GTAGAAAATTTTTTCCTCTCATCAGTCATCAATTTGCGTTCTTTCTCTACATCCCTGTCCTTCTTCGACAGTGTGGAAGCAGAAAGCAATGGATACAACCAATTTGTGCTCTCTTAGTAGCTGTGGTTGAGTGCGTCATTTGGGGATCCAGGGGTGGCTTGTTATTAAATTTATATATTATATTCCATGAAACATGATTCACTTTCAAGATACTATAAGATGCTTTGGTGGTGAAATGGTGGACATGTGAGACTCAAAATCTCGTGCTAAAGAACGTGAGGATTGGAGGAGTGGATCCAATTGCTAAGTGCTGACATTCGGTGATAACTAAAATATTAATCATAAATATGGGTGTGCAGAGGGTAGGTGGATTGATTGGATGCAGGAGTTGGGTCACAAGGGATCATTATGGTGGAGGAACATATGTAGGTTAGACCACATTGATATTAAAAATGAGGGATGGATATCAGGGGGATTCAAATTGAAAGTAGGTGAGGGGAATTCTATCAACTTTTGGAAGGATGCATGGATAGGGGATCAACCCTTTGCTAACCGATTTCCTAGATTGTTTCTTGTTTCAACAGACAAAGAAAAGAGGATCTCCCAAATGGGTATATGGAGAGGAAAAAACTAGCAATGGACACTACATTGGAGACGATCTTTGTATGAGTGGGAAGAAGACAATTTATCAAAGTTGCAGAGATTAATCATGAACACACACCCAACCAAAGATCAAAAAGATTGCTGGAATTGGAGGCACACTAAAGAAGGAGAGTATTCTGTCAAAACAGCATATGCCCTACTTTCTAGTAACAGCCAGGACAATAGATCTCAGATGCATGAAAGGACTTGGAGCAAACTTATCCCCACAAAAATTAGTGCATTTGGGTGGCAAGTATTGCAAGACAGAATCCCTATGAAGCTTAATCTTTATAAGAGGGGAATTATAACTGATCCTAATCAATTGATGTGTGGATTTTGTGGGGATAACATCGAAGATGCCAATCATCTTTTCCTCCACTGTAGAGTTGCTTTTTCAGTAAGGAGCAAATGTGCACAATGGTGGAGGTTCATTTCAGTTCAGCCGAAGACTTGCCATGAGGATTTTAAACAACACAAGCCCCATGCTAAAGAGCCTGCAATGAGAGCTGGCTGGGACGTGATATGGTTCTCCACTATATGGTCTTTGTGGATGGCAAGGAATGCTAAATGTTTCCGAAACCATGAGTATGATGTAGATAGAATTTTTGAGCTTGTACAACTAAGAGCTTTCATTTGGATTAAGGGCAGAACTACGGGACACTCCTTCAGCTTACACGATTGGATGGTAGAACCAATCTTAAGCCTTAAGGATAAAAGAGATTGGATACATAGTCCCACAAGTGGGAAGTTTTTGGGTGGACAAAGCAACCTGTGATTGACAGTGATATATGATGAAACTGCAAAAGAGGACAGAAATTCGACACGGGTATAGTGTCGACACCTTATGGTAAGCATTCAAAACTCCGACATGGACGGGGTGGCGACACATAATTCAGGGGTCGACACCATTTGAAAGGCTATCCTATTCATGTAATATGAAACCTTTTAAGTTATGATATTTATGGGTTTGGGGTACCCCTTGTACTCTGTTTATAAATAAATATTATTTTTGGTTGTTTAGAAAAAAAAATATTTTTAGTATTCTAATCGCTCCTAAAATCATAAATATATTTTTGTTTTAAATTTAAATTAAGGATTAGGAAATTTTTTTTATTTATTTTACTCTAAAAAATAAAAATTAAATAATTTTTTTATGATAAAATAGATAATTAAAGTTTAAGAGATAATAATAAAATTAAAGAAAAAAGTGTCTTCTTTAAAAAATAAAAAATAATAATTTTAAATGA